CGTAGCTCTCTTCCGCCGCCTCGCCACCGCCGCCGCCGCCCAACGACCGACTGCACACAAACAAAACTTTTTATATCTCATTCAAACAATTATTTAATGATTAAAAATGTAGACATTGTAGCCCTTGCATTTAAATATATTTTTTATGGTAAAAAAATATTATGAGTTTCATTTTCCAACACTTACTTTGCGAGAGTATTTGTGCAGACGATGTACTCGACTTCATCATTATATGGGTTAAGGAAGGCAAAAGCTGATGTCCTCAGCCAGATCCACTCTCTACTTTTGGTCCGGAATCGGTACATTAGGGATATGATTTGTCCTTTGAGCTTTAGAACTGTAAAACGAAAATAATTTATGGATTAAATATACCTAAAACAACTAGTCAATGAAATGATCGGAACAATAAGTTAATTGTCAACAATAAGCATTTGCAACACAATTGAGTTGCATGTTTTATCTGACTTATAGGACGTTGCAATAATTTGGATCAAAGTCAACTGCGCGTTGCGAAGTACCCTGCCTCTCTGCATCCCGGTATTCTTCTCGGACTCGTGCGAGGTTCCGAATTGTCAAGATGTTTGACAAACTGAATACCTTGGTCGAAGTTATCCCGCATGTGTTGTTGGTCCTCGGGGTGGTAGAAGTCGTAGCAGAGCTTGCCGAGCAGGTCGGCGGGCGCGTGGCCCACCACCTGCGCGGCGCGCTGGTCCGCGAACGTGAAGCGCCCGTCGGCCGCGTGGCGCGACACGAACTCCGCGCCCCCGCACCCCGCGCCCTCCGCGCTCGTCGGCGTCGACGTCACCTGCGCACACGCATCACATACATCACATTATTAAATCAAAAAAATCAACATTTACTCATTATCAACACTACAACACAATTAGAAATAACAAAAAACAAAGTTATTAAATATAAAATAATAAAAACGTAATTAAAAGACAAAAGAAATATTTAAAATGACTATTGCAATGCCGACCGGATTGGCTTATTACCCTATTTGCAAATTTATTACAATATAATACAAAATAAGTGCCAGTGCTTACTTTTGTTATTTAAAAAGTGCGAAATCGAAGTCATAAACTATATATTATTAGTAAAAACAGCATGTTATAGTGGTACATACCTGTAACCGTCCAATAGCGACGAGACAACAATGTGACGCGTGCAGCTCATCTTCGACTGGCCGATCCATCTGCATACCTGGAAACAGATCTGATGTCCCAAAATACATAAAATCGTGTTTTTAATGATTTAAAAACAAAAATTTTACATATTTAACAAAAGCTCTCTTTACTAAGTTATTTCAAAAAGTGTAATAAAGTATGGAATAACTTTCATATCTTAGTTTGTTGTGAATCGCACACGTGAATGTATTGCGACGAGATATTTTACCTGTCGGAGGCCAGTTTTTGATGTATCCCGTGCAGTGGACGACGGCGTAGTTGTGTCCGTCGTGCGAGGGGCCGAGCGAGTTGCGCGCGCGCAGTCGGCCCACGTGCGCGTCGCCCGCGCCCGTCCCGCCCACGCGCATGCGGCAGATGAACCCGCGCCGCGATCCCATCACTTGACGCATCGATGCTGCCGATTACAAACCATTCAAAATCATTCCTATCAATAATATTCATAAAATATAAAGTAATATAATAAAGCGTAAACACAAACTTCTTTGTTATGTAGGATGGTAGCATTTACGTCACTCTATGGGCTATATATTTTCACGCTATTTAATGTAAAATAAAATAAAATTTTTATTTACGCGGAAAATGTACAAAAACTACAACCAATAGCGGGAAAAAAGCAAGATAGAAACGATAACGGTAATTATTAGCCAATGGCAAAGGCCCAATTTGTAATGATAAATCATTTGCAAAGGTATTCAATAAAATAAAGCGGTTGAAGTCGCACGAGAACAGCTAGTCATGACTTAAAAAGTACTTACACTGATGTCCTTCTTTTTTAACAGTGCCCGTTTTTAAATCTAAAATTCGGCCAGTGTTCTGTGGCTCTTGTGTGCTCAACTGCTCCCGGACTTTTTCCACATCGTCGGGATGCACTTGGTCGAATAGACATGACGAATACCACTCTCCCTGTCAACAAAAACCTTTCGTTCAAAGAATTTCTATATATGACTTAACCAACACTCAGTTAACTTTCAAATATTGAAATATTGATAAATAATTTACTTCATCACCATCATCACCAGCTCACTATACGTCCCCACCGAGGGGCTCGGAGCCTACCCTAATAAGGGGTGACTAGGCCATAGTCAACCACGCTGGCCAAGTGCGGGTTGGTTGACTTCACACATATTTTTGAATTTCTTCGCCGATATGTGCAGGTTGCATCACGATGTTTTCCTTCACCGTAAGAACGTCGGGTAAATTATGTACATATGAAAATTCGAAAAATCGAAAATCACATTGGTACACGGCGGGATTCGAACCCAAGACCTGTAGATTACAAGTCAAGTGTTCAAACCACTGTATATAATAATTTACTTACCTGAGAATAATTAAGTACTGGTGCTATACTATCACTAACATATATAATACGGCCGGTGTCGCAACTAACGACAAATAAAAAACCATCTGCCGCTTCTAATATAAGATGCTTTAACTCTTGATCAGTTAAAAAAGACGGTTTGTATGTGCCATCGGTGGAGGTATTTCCTGTACCTAAAAATTAAATGGTTTAATTAAAATTCATATTGATCTCGAAATATATCTAAATAAATCAGTATAATGTAGATTTATTTCAGACTAGCATTCACCCGTGACTAAAATTACTATATCAATAGGGCACCATCCAATCTTCAGACCCCTAGCTTGAATAAGGAAATAAAATTTTATTTTTAGTTTTATTGCATACCTCTGAGTGCTTTCATATGTGCTACTGCCATACGCAGTATGGTGAGTTTGTCCGGCTTGCGGGCGAGGGCGGAACATGTTGGAACCATGTCAGATAGTTCCGTGATATATGCCGTCATCTTGTTCCTGCGCCGGCGCTCAATCTCGCAGTGATTCTCACGACTAAAAATAACGGCCAGATAGAATTCGTAAGGTACATTTCGACTTTTATACACCTTAAGGTGCAAAAACAATATTATATCCAAATTATAATCTAGAAGTTGTTTTTAATTCAGGCTTATTATTATAAATAAACGCCTTAACCTAATGCAATAACTATATTTGATAGATGTAAATCCTAAAGGAATATAATAATATATCCCTCACTAAACAGTTATATGGTTTTTGTATACAATTTCTACTTGTTTCCAACGTTTTTGTTGCAAAATTCTTAATATGGGTTATGATAATGGATTCAATATCAAAGTGTTGGAAGTCTGGAAGATGGCCATAACATTACCATATCTTAATAAGTCCCTAAATTTAAAGAATACTTTTAATAAGCTATATCAAAGGTACGCGTATAACGTGATAAGACACGTTTCCAATCATTACATGGTTACTTACAGTGAGTGACTAGCTCATGGGAAAAGTTAATTGTATAATTAAGACCTTGCCAACAACATTTACTTGATTATAAAAGTGTTACGTGAGAATGTATATTATGTTATTTACAGTTTTTTTTAAAGTTATTTATAAGCAATAGTGAAAATTAAGGAATTCATTACTATAACTATGATAGTAATCAACACAAATTCGGGGCCGCAAAGATAGATGTCCAAACAGCGTTCAATTTTTTTTATACTAAAAAGTCGAAGTTTAAAGCTATAAAAAGACTAAATACGGCACCGTTCTATATTTTATACAGTACCGTGCCGCATGTTTTAACGCATAATATGAAAGTCGCAAAATCGAAATTATGATACAAGTATAAAAAGAAATGTAGACCAATACGATTCATACGTATTATTAATTAATGAAGCGCAAACACTACGTTTCGGTCCAAATAGCAAATTAGCTTACTAAATCATTTTATATAATTGTAGCATAAAGAATATTGATATATTTAAACTAGATTGTCAGAGTAAATTATTTACTCTGATAATCTGATTAACTTTTAAATACACATGCTAATTTAAATGATTATGTGTTACTTGACCTATTTTATTTTTGTTTGATGAGCTTGTCCATGGGCAACTATGTGCTGACATACTCATTTTTATTGCACTCTGTATTCAAAACAACTTGTGCAAATATTAAATTGAAATAAAGGAACTAAGTCTTATAAGGGTTTCTTTTAAAATTGTTTACAGTAATTAACTATTATTCCTTTGAGCCATTATATCAAAAGTTACTAAAAAAACATACATCACTTATTTATAATAGACTAGCTACTGCTCGTGACTCCGCCCGCGTGAAGCAAAAAAAAATATAAAAACTATAGCCTATGTTACTCACTGTTAACATAGCTTTCTAATGGTGAAAGAATTTTTAAAACTGACCGAGTTATTTTGACCTAGATCAAATACATACAAGTCTTACCTCTTTATAATATTAGTATAGATATAAATAGGAATTGTTACATTGCCATGACTTGTACAATTAAATGCCAAAGGTATGAAGTAAATTAAATTACATTTCAATAATTACAAATGACTGAGATAATATTTCTATCAAGGAGCAGCAGCAAATAGAGTTAAATATAGAAATACTTACCTTGCAAACCTCTCTTTGTCTTGAATATTGTCCTCCTCCATCCTTGTGTATTTCCCACCACTTGCGTCGTCTTCATCGGACCTGGTCAGAAAACATAAATTTTAGTTAAAATTATATACATTAAGCTATTAACACCATGAACATTTTGATCCACTTTTCCTTCAACCTTCAACAAAAGATAATTGATTTCATTATAATGTGAAAAAGGAGCTATTAATATAAACCAGCTGAAAATCTACAAATTAACAGTCTAAGGTAAGTTGCCTTTTACATGAGACAGTTATTTTTTCACAGTTTTCAAGGGTTCTCTATTCAATTTGATAGAGATAGATCTTAGGTTGCACCAAGTTACTGACTGCAAGTAGCAATGACATTGCTCAAAATGTCTTATTATATTATTATAATCTATACTAATATTATAAAGAGGAAAAATTTATATTTTGTATGTATTGAAATAACTCAAAAACTACAGAACCGATATAAAAAATTCTTTTCACATCAAAAAGGTATGTTAATAGTGAATAACATAAGCTACATTTTTATAATTTTTTAAACTCACGCGGGCGAAGTCGCGAGCTGAACTAATTGTTAATAAATAAAAGAAACAATATTGATCTTCTTGGTTCGTGCTATTATACAAAGTGTTGTCAGTATGAAGTGAAAGTTGTTAAAAAATGAAATAAGAAATCTCTTTCCTGATGAGGTTCATCATCAGGATCATTATGGTTAGATTTGTGAGAAAATAATGTAAAGACAAGTTATGAGAAAGTTTTTCACAAAAATAATTCGACAATAAAAATTCCAATATTTTTAACATATTTCTATTACTTCCCTGAACTCTACAAACAAAATGTAATTGACTACATCATACTTGTAACATGAAACAGCTGAAAAACTACAAACTAATGGAGAAAGAGAGTGCAATTTAAGTTGCTTTGTTATCGAGGGTTATCAGCCATAACTTTATCAAAAGAAAATGTACTTTTTGGTATTGCATATTACATTGAAAATGATTCTAAGAATAAATAATATTTTAATTGTTTGCTAAAATTAAATATCCTGATGTTTAAATTGTAGCATTTTTCGTTATTTTTCCTATGGATACTAAAGTATGATGTTGTTTCTGAGCCAAAAAATTTATTTAAAAAATTTATTAGAATTTTAGAATTGAAGATATAATCTGATGTATAAAATGTATACAAAGTTTTTAGTAGGTAAATATTTTGTCTTACCCAACACTGCCAGCACGGCGCTTTTGTATATCTTTTGATGGGTCAGCCCCTATAAAAAATTGCAATAAGCTTTTTTGGCTAAAATATTTTAGATTACACACTAAATTCATGTGCTATAAGACAAATGTTTACTCATTGTTTCACATGTATTCCAAATGATTACAATAAACTAAATCTTTCAAAAGATGAAATTACCAATCTACATGATATAAAACACTTATAAAAGTTGTTGCTACTACATGTTAGTGTCAAAATTATACATGTTATTTAATTAGTACAACAATGCATGTACTTGCAAAATTCAAATTAAAATTTTGATTTAAGATTTTTTTTTAAATCAGCCTGTACACAGCAAAAGCACAAATGCCATTCAGAAATAAATGTGCAAAAATCATTCACTATTTCTAAATAATATTGCACTACACTATAATAGGTACAATTTAATCCCTCGTTCATAAAAGTATTTTCTGAATTGATGTAATTACTGTTTCTTGTGGGTCAATTCCGTTTAGCAACGCGTCACGCGGAACGACGTCAATAGAAAATAGGTCGGAGTTTTTCTGTTTATTGTTTATCAACAACTTCATCATTTTATCCTTATTTGAATAACTTTCAAAAGTTCTTTCAAAGTAATAAACCATATACTTAAAGAAACAATATTTTTAGGATAAATTCCACTGCAACAAGTAAAAGCACCAACCGGGGATAGTGGGAGCCACGGCAGACATCGGTCAATAAATTCATCTGTCCACGTTATTTTATTGCTAGACAATTATTTAATGTAGAATTAAATAACACAAATCAACACTAAAACATAAAAAACTTGTGTTTATCGTTAAACTCTTAAAACAACACAAACGCCATTTTTCAATAAAGATGACATGACATTGCCACCTAAAGATCTAAAGAGAAAAACCTGCGTGTCTATTTATGCGCAAGTTTTGGATCTGATTATTAATTTAAATGACCCCAAAATTACTTTATAACAGTTTCAACTCAATTAGAACATAAGACGTTGAATAAATCAAATACACTCATTTAGTATTTAAAAATATAACATTGTTTTTATACTTTGGTATTACGATAAATGCGTAAATTAGAATTTTAAAACAGATCATTCAATTTTGTAGAAACAAAATAATCATTTTGTAAAACGTATGTACTACTACTACTAAAACAATTATTCAGTACACCAAAATAAGTTGTCAACAAATCTGAAACAGGTTTGTTACAGTATTTGTCAAAAGCCTTATAATCCTATTGCCTTTATTTATTTCAAAAAGAAGCTGAAATAAAACTAAACGTCAAAATAAGCTGTCATTTTTGCACCATGCTGTCACTGTCACTTTGAAAAGTAAAAATTGGACTTAAAAAATAAAAAGAGTATGTTTTTTTATTTATTAGTAGTTGATAAGAAATAATAAATTGTTTAAAGTAAGTTACAATCACAGAATTTTTTCACATTACCATAGATAAGACTAAACCATGGCCAAATCGGCTCAAGAATTTATTCAAAGCTCTTTTTCACCTATTATTGCGGTATTATGCAGTCCAAAAGTGAACAATCTAGTTTCCAAAAATAATTTAACGTTTCCCGAACTGCTACAACCTTTTGCATCAATGGAATGGGATGGTAAGTTATATTATATTATATATAATATGAACTAAGGATTTTGCACTTATATCTTGTTTTACATGTTACTTTCTTTATCATTCTACCAAGCTCCGGGATTGAGGCCGAATCACTTACTTATTCCATTAATTTCATCTATTGTTATATAAGCAATTTTTTCCTAGGTCTGTCTGCCCCTATTGGTATATGCCCAAAAGATTAAAATTTCCTTGTTATCTGTTATACTTCTCTTTTGCAATCTTTATTATTTTTCCAATTGACCTTTATCAAATGTAGTCCCAATAAAGACAACCTTTGTGTTACTTATAAGGAATAAGAATATTTGAAGAACATTTATAAAATTATGTTTATAATTTTCAAAGTTTTTTTGTTATTAAAAAAATGCCCTAGTAAACTTTATGTGTATAAAAATATTACATCAATTAATATGTACAAAATGCATGTGTTACATGGTTTAACTGATTGCAAAGTAAAATAGGTACAAATTAATAATAATTTTAGGTCAATTTCGTGAACCTGGAGGAAGCATTTGCACTGTTAAAAATTGGAAGCTAATTATCAGAGATGTCAATTGGAAACCTCTTCAACCCACAGAAGCAAGAAGACAACTAAATAATGCAGTTTTACATAATTTTGATGATAAAACTAGCACATTTGAATTTGGTATAAAATTTTTATTACAAATTAAAATTAATATTTAAGCATGATTCTTAAATGTTTACTATTTTTGTAGATGGACGAAAATTCGATGTTCCAAAACTAACACCTTGGTTTGATGCTTGGAGAGAAACTTATCTTGAGGTGCAGTTCCCTTCAGATCATGAGTTTACTAAACATTTCTTGTCCTGCATAATTGTTGCTACAACATTAGATGACAATATTGTGGACACATATAATCAATTAAACCAACAATATGCACAATTGCAAAATGTAGCTCCACCAAAATTACCCAAATGGTTTAATAATGGTGTCTTAAAAAGTTATCTACTCCTCCACGATGTGTCAACAGTAACAAAAGAAAAGTATGTTTCAATTTCCTAGCAATTCTAAGAAATGTACAAGCTCTAACAGGAAACTTTTGTATTTCAGAGCCGATGCAACATTTGAAACAGTTAAACAAGCATTTGGTGCAAGCAATTGTTTTATGTTGACCATAAACTCGAAAAGTTTATCGGATCCAAAACTGCTCACAGATTATTGGGCTCAATATATTACGAGATCAACAGAATCCTATGTAATTTATTTAATGTGTGTTAATTCTGTAGATGCTGGTTTTATTGGATTTATTTATAGATATTGTTTTTATGTTTTAGAATGAAATGTCATCACCTATGAATGCAACGACATTTGAACCACAAGTCGTCCCACCTCCAACAACCATTGTAACACCTGGTGAGATGTCAATTGTATTTTATTTAAAAAAACTTTATGGATTACAATTAATGTATAACAATACACACTTGACATTATTCAGAAAGCATAATTGATTTAGTTAAAAAACCTTTATTTTAAATGCTTAAAACCATTTTGTTATTATAACACAATTTTGTATATCCAATAAGCTATTTCATTGGAAATAACGGTTTTCAATACCTAATACAAGTATGACTTCATATAAGCTTTTAATATTTGATATTATGTTTTATTATAGAAGATAAACCTAACATAATGATAACATCAACACAAGAAGGTGTGCATCCATTAACAGCTACTGAAAACGATGTTTATGATAATGCAAATAGCTTGCAGGTAATATTATAAAATATATGTAATTTATGTCTACTCTATCACAAGTATTTTTTTAAAAGTATATTTATCTCTTCTTCAGACATATTCATTTTCTGGCAGTTCGGAAAGTGTCAATGTAGCAGGAAAGGGTGTGGATTATTCTAATGAAGTGCATGGAGCCGCATTAAATACAAATGATATTGAAGCTATTAAGAAATTCCTGCAGGAATATGCATCTAAAGCATTACTACCTTACTTAGAGAAACAAATTTCTCAATTATCTGAAGTGGTAAGATAAAATAGAAAAAAAGAATTAATGTATTTAATTTGAAATTTCAGAAATTTCCAAAGTATTTTATTTTAATTTCAGGTAGCTAATAGAAAAGGTGTTAGTAGATCATTATTGTCAGCAACAAAACGATGGTTTGCTACTGGGAAACCTGGAAACACTACTGCAAATAATACAGTTATGTAAGGGTTTTTAATTTTTTTATAATCTGTCTATTTTAAATTCATAACACAATTTTTATTTCTATCTGTGCTAATGATATTCTTATAGTATACAGAATAATATGATTCCAAGAAATAATTATGCATCTACATATTTACCATACACAAGCTGCCTTATTTCATTTCTGATGTAACTACCGAGCAGAATATATCCAGTTTTAACCAAGGGACAAGTTAATACTCGTAGTATCAATATAACATGGAACAGATACTCGAGTGACTGTCCGGAGCTACAATTGCGTCGGCTGGGCGACCTGTGGTTCGTGTGCGGGCAATGGGGGCGCGCGTTCGACGCGTACCACACCGCCAAGAGGGAGTTCTACGCGGACAGCGCGTGGCTGTGCTACGCGGGCGCGCTGGAGATGGCCGCCGTCAGCGCCTTCATGGCCGGCGACGCCAACCGCAAGACGCACGGCTACATGGAGGAGAGTATTGTCACCTATCTCAATACATGCAGGTACATACTTTGACACTCATTGTCAACTTATCGTATTTTATTGTATACATATGTCAAATTATCAATTGCGAGTGTCACAATTACATGACAAACCTTGCTTCCTTGATGTTGGTGGCTTGTAGCTTATGGTCCCTTTTCCACATGAAGGGTTTTACTAATTTATTTATCCAGTAAGTTTAATAGCGTGAAAAAATATTGCCTAAAGCTAGCCATAATATAGGGCTTTTTATTAAAGTATGTTTTATTCAAAGACATGCTGTAATTGTTGACATCTTGCGCCACAAAGTAGTGTGTTTACACTTTATTATATTAGTATAGAAGTAAAGATAGATAACTTTTAGTAATACAATACCTTTTTCAGAATGGTGCAGTATGCAGTCAGAGCGACATTACTCTCCGCCTTGTGTTTGATAAACTCTGGACTCCACGGCGAGGCAGCCAAGCAACTGATCCGGATGACTTCAGAAGACAGCGACCTCCGCAGCGCAATGCTTCTGGAACAGGCATCCCTTTGCTTCCTGTCTGGGCCCGGTACAAAGGCCATGTGCAGGAAGTACGCGTTCCACATGGTGCTCGCTGGACATAGATTTTCTAAAGCTGGCCAGAAGAAACATGCCTACAGATGTTACTATCAAGCTTATCAGGTAACAAAAACAATAAAAGTTTTTTCTATTGTTTTGACTATTGTTTTGATATTGAGTGTATTTCTGCTTTATCCTATGTTAACATGCGATTTATTGTCTCATCGTGAGGTGTACACGGGAAGTGGGGGCGGCGGGGGCAGCGGGTGGCGGCTGGCGACGGACCACGTGCAGTTCGCGCTGGGCCGGCTGGCGGGCGCGCTGAAGCAGGCGGTGGCGCCGCGCTGGCTGGCCGCGCCGCTCGCGCCCGCCTCCCCGCAGCCGCCGCCGCAGCAGGCCGCCTTCCTGCGCGAGTACATGCTCGCACACCAGGTTACTATTACCTTTAATAACATCACATGTACCAATCTGACATACTTCAATCTATACTTCTATACTTACTTATCTATATCTATACTATTATAATAAAGCGTAATCACACACTTTTATGTTGCCTAAGATGTCAGCAATTACAGCATATTTTTGAATAATTCTTTCTTTAATAAAAAGCCCTACACTTGTGTCAGGCTTTAGCCTATATATTTTCACGCCATTAAACTTAGGGGGTAAATATTTTGGATAAAAACCCTAATGTGAGAAAGAGACCATAAGTTGCTGCCAACATCAAGGATGCTTCCTTGCTAGGTTGTCATGGTTTGTCATAATGTCATGTCACTTTGATATTTGCCATTGACAATTTGACACATGTAAACAATAAAATAAAATTTTCATAACTTTATGCGAAAGAAGTCGCACGGGAACAGCTAGTACTAATATAATAAAGCGTAACACACACTACTTTGTAGGGTAGGATGTCAGCAACCACGGCATATTTTTGAATAATTTTTTCTATAATAAAAAGCCCCACATTTAAGACATACTTCAGGCTATTATATCTCACGCTTTTAAACTTAGGGTGCAATTAAATTCGAATAAAACCTTCATGTGGGAAAGGGACCATAAACTGAACGCTGAGAACATGAAGAAAGCAAGGTTGCCATGGTATCCATGGTAACAGTAATTCTTATCCAATGTCAATATGCAGATGCAGCCTCAGGAGAACAACTCGAGAGTGAAATAATTACATAATAATGAATTTTCTTGATCGTTGGTCAGCAATGGATCGAAAGTTCGGAGGAGTTCGGAGTGAAGTTGCCGGTGGTGCCGGTGCCGCTGGTGGTGCGCGGCGAGACGCGCGTGTGTTGCGCGGGCCCGGCCCCGCTGGCGGCGGCGGGGCGCGTGTCGGCCGCCGCGCCCCCCGCGCCGCCCGCCGCCGCCGCCGCCGCCCTCTGGCACCGCCTCGAGGAGATGCTCATACACGCGGCGCAGGGCGCGCCGCCCATGATATTCAAACCCACAGTTGATCTGTACACCGAGGACACCGATGCTAATCCTATTGTACCGCAAGGAGGTTTGTTTGCATATTCATTGAATAACTTATCACCTTACAAGTAAACGCGGTATAAAGTTAAACTTAGGAATAAAATGAGTATTTGTAAGTCTATAAATGTATTATCTATCTGAAAAGTTATATAATTATTCTTGTTACAGAACCGATACAAATCACTATAACTTTAACAAACCCGTTGAAAATACCTTTACTTCTAAAAGACCTGGAATTGCTCTGGCAATTTACACCAAATGTCGATGATACTAATGCTCCTAAAGATATTCTGGATAACGAGCCTTTCGTAGCGTCGGGCCGCACTTTGGACAGTGATGTAATCTCTAGACAAAAAATTCCAATGTCTCTTCTCGAGGGGGAATGTAATAAACGGTTGACTTTCTCGTTAACTCCATTGCAAGTTGGTCGTTTACATATAAAAGGATTAGCATACAAGTATGTAGTCTTTGGATTGGAATAAATTTGTGATTTTGGATGCATGTGTCCATTGAATTTGATTATTGGTAAATTTGTAGGTTAACCAACACTGGAGAGGATGGTAAAGAAAATAATAACAGCATAGTTATCACAGGCAAATTGGAATTATCGTCTGCTGGTAATGAATCCAACAAACGTTTACAAATTATCGTCATACCACAGGCTCCCTGTTTGCAGGTCACTTTTATATTTTTTTATCTATTTACAACACTCAAAGTGAATTAATTAAAAACTCTTTAATATTGATTCAGAAATGTAAAACCAATATCTTTGTTTGTTACCTAAATAGATGACATTTTGTGAGATAAGTCCGGAGGTGATAAGCGGGGAGTTGATAGCAATAGACGTTGAATTTCGTAACGTGGGCCCCGTGGAGATGAGGAACTTGTACGTGGCCGTGTCGCACCCCGACTGCCTCAGCCTCGTCACCGACGACTGCGGCCGCGACTTCGACATACTCTATGAAGAGAAATACCAACTACCACCGGTGTATCAAGGTCTGTTACATTTCATATTTGACAAAACTACGCATTTTTGTTGTTAATTGCATTACTTACTTAAAAGCGTCACAATCATTATGTTCTAAATATTTTAATTGCTGCTCATTGAACATTTTGGTGGTCTTACTATAAGTCTAGGCGATAAAAATGTATACGTGTATTCAAATTCAATGGAAATGATATATTAAATTTTTTAACGTCAAGTCACTGGCTGACAATGTAATTTAAATTGACGATACAGACATGTCTGATTTTATTAAGTCTATGTAACTGGATTTTTTATATCAAAAGGTGGCTAAAAATGACGAAACGACCGCTGCCCATAGACATTCGCAATATCGGATGCGTTGCCTACCCTTATCGACGGAGGAAACGTACATAAAGAGGCTATTTCCCCTTCCTATGCGTCCCCTCCAGCGTCAAATCTACTTTCCCTTCCCATTCTTATCTTATAAGAAAGAGGGTGGGAAGTAAAAGGGACTAAAGTTGGGCCTCAGGCACCACACTCATCAGACAAAACGCGGAATTGCTCCCACTTCACATCCGTCTTCTGTGTGGTCGTGGTATTGCTGGGGGCGAGCCGGCCCATTCGTGCGAAGATGTTAAAGCGGGCTCTGCCACTGTTAAAAAGGATAACATAGTTAAAAACATGTTAGCATAATATGTAATTTGAATTGTATTGCACTATAGACGAGCGCAGCGCGCGCGCGGGGCGGCGGGCGGACAGTGTGCGGCGGCACTCGCGGTGCGTGTGCGCGGCGCTGGGCGCGGCGGGCGGAGCGGGCGGCGCGGGGGGCGGGGCGGCGAGCGTGCGCGCGCGCCTGCTGCTGCGGCCGCGTCGGCGCGCGCCCGCACTGCGCCTGCTCGCGTACTACGACACCGGCCTGCCGCAGCGCCCGCACAGGCTGCTCAGGCACGAGATTCGCCTGCACACCACGGTATAATATTAATTTTCATATGTTATTGACAAACTATCTTAGTCATGGAAATTTTATGCAACATTTCTTAAATGTTATGGACTAGCAGAGAAGACGACATTAAAACAATTTTACGACTTTACTAAGTAACTAGCTTATGTGTTTTTAACTTCATCGAATTAAGACAGTAGCAAATATCCATCCATCCAAACTTTCACATTTATATATTGGTATAAAGCATAATATTATTAGGTTGGACTTAATTCTTTTCATGTATTACAGGAGGCGATTGAAATTCAAGTGACACCGAGAAGAAGTTTAAATAAGTCCAACGAAGAAATGGTAGAAAACATGAGTCTAGCTGTTGAAGTAAAAAATGTTTGCAAAGAAAACGAAGGCATCGTTATAGAAGTATTGGAGGTTTCTTTATTAAGTCAGCAGTGGACTTTGACCGACCTTATCTCCGCACCCAACATGGACTCCGCGTTGATTCCTCGTGAAAGAATTCATTACGTTTTTAAAGCTAAGAGAATATTCGAAAGATCGGACAAAAGTAAAGTCGAGTATTCCAACATAAAAGTTGCAGGAAAACATGCGGAAACCGTAGCAGATGTTAACTCTTTGCCATACTCGAAGTTCCTGATGGATAGCTTGCCCTCTATCGACGATGCGATCGATCCGAATTACTCAGAAAGTGGAACAAAGCGAGACGGGTTGATACAATCCATGCTTGTTGTAAGATGGAAAGCGCACGACAAAATTAAAAATAAAACCTCAGTCGGACAGCACTCTTTGTGGATTAACTGTTTTGCTAAAGCTTTGTCACAAGAAAAGGACTTATCTCCCGAGCTGCCCATACAGTTGGACGATTTTGAAAGTAAAAACTTCATTGAACCGATAGAAAAAAGCGACAGTAATAATATCGTTCTCTTCAGACTGGAACATTCTAATTACGTCAATCATAACTTTTTGCAAAGAAAGTTGTGCATGATACCTATTGTCATAAATATAGTTAACTGTTACGGTATACCAGTCACTGTTTTCATAGATATGACTAAACAACAAAATAGGTAATTTTATTACTATATTTATATGTTTTTTTAAAACAAACAAGAGAGTATTAGGATATATCGCTACAAAAGTAGAGGAAGACCAAAGAATATATGGATAGTAGAGAATATGTTTAAGAAGACTGCCAATAGAGATGTATGGAAGAGCAGTACATACTGTATCGACAGTCATAGCAACAAGGACATATTGATTATTAATTGGCTTATTAAATATTTCAGGGAATCGACAAGTGAGTTAGGTTGGGCGGGGGCGTTGAGTACGGGTCCGGACGCGGAGTGTAAGAGTCTGGGAGTGAATGTGACGTTGCAAGAGTTCGAGTCGCGGCGCGTGTCGGTGCGCGCGCTGTGCGCCGCGCCCGGCACGTACGTGCTCGCGGCCGCCTTCACGCTCACCGCCTCCTGCGCCCTCGGCACGCGGCCCGCCACACACTTCTCTAACAACACCTCGCTTCTAGTCGTCAAACAAGCAGCTTAGCACATCTTATAACTATTACAATATACAAATACAAATACAAATATTTTAGTGGTAAAAGTTATTTACAGGTCAAAATGTTAAAATTGTTTTACAGTTACTGTGAATTGAAAATAAGACAATCATTATGGTAGAAAAAATGAATTCACTGTATAGAGCTTTCTGAATTAGCCAGGACTTGTTTTTTTTAAATGATGCGAGGCTAGTAGCCGCTGTGACGTGGTCCGGCAGGCGATCGTAGACTGTGGGTAGTATTTTTCTTAGGGCCGGTCCTACCAAATTGTAAATTGTCTGTTAACCATCCAACGTGTAAAATATGTGATGGAAATATCGAATTTTGTTACCTTATCTAACAGTGACGTCAATTTTAACTATCACTTTCCGAGCCTCGTATTAGCCAATGGTGGGACAGGCCCTTAATCTTTTTAATTTCACCAGTAAATGCGATTTGGATGGATAGATGTTTGAAAATTTGTGTCTTAAACCTGTTGAACGGATCCTATTTAAATTTGGCATAGATGTAGAACAAAGTCTGGAAAAACACATAAGCTACTTGCTTTTGATTTTTTTAAATTATCAAAACCATGAAGTTTGTCCATTAATTAGAACTTAAGAGTTAAGAGTAATGCTTAGTTCAAATTGTATTAAAATTATTTGCGTATATTTCACATATATTCATAAGAATATTTATTGTTCTAAGTTATTGTAATTCCATTTCATAAAGATGATTCAATATAAACTGGAAAGATGTTTTATGATTTTTTAATATTATTTATACTTGGTAGTGAAACAAATAAAATAAAACTATGTAATGAATTATGATTAATTGTTATTAAACTAAAGTATAATTAAATATGTTTTCTTTTTATCCAAAAACAATTTAATATCCTTTTTTAAAAAATGGGAAGGCGGAGATTTTTAATTTACTATTTGCGTGCAGTTTTATATAAAACAAATAATATGATTTATATTTATGTATTCACAATTTCAAAGAAAATTGTTTAAAAATTTTATAACTGCTATAAATAAATCATAAATTTTGAATTTCAGTACAAATCGGAAATTATTGTTTTTGAGCAGTTGAATCTAAAAATGTAGTTTGTGGCTTAATACTTTGTTATCAAAATAAATGTTCTGTGTGTGAGTATAATGGCATCTTGGAAATCAAGATTTTACATTTTATTAGCAGGTAATGTGAAAGCGTATTTTTGATTAACAAATATTCGAATGGGTGTCGTTTGTACTAAAATTGTTAAATAATTTCACGAACGTTCTGAAATGTTTCTTGATTTATTTGTGTTCCGAAAAATAAAGTCTTTATCTTATTTTCATCCATTGCACAAGTGCCGTTTGTTAGAATGATGCTAATCTCTGTAAAAATGCAAGTAGATATGAGTCTAAGACAGATAATTTTAAATCCTTGCCTTACATTCCATGAACGTCATCCAGGGGTTTTAATGAAAATGATAACGTACAGCCATAACACAGTAGTTAAACATTTCATTTCAATACATACATAAAATCACTTTAGTACCTAGTAATCTTCTGTAACTAGAATGGTTCTTGTTAGAAAAAGCTTTATTTTTACTAACTAAGGGATCTTTAGATGGGTTGCACGTTACAGCAAACGAGAAGGCTTTTTGTTTATGTTGTGTGAATAGATTTTAATTTTTAACCCCTGAATTCGTGCATTTTTTAAATATTCATCAACTTTGATGCCATCTAGCGGCCAAACTAAGCAACTTCAGATAAAGGTAAGTTGGATTAATTATATTTTAAACCATGGAGCATGTGGCCTTTCGTTGAACGAATGTGAACGTGTAAAACTTGAAAAAAAAATGCAGGAATATAATCTGCTAGCTTTCGTCAGCGACTCCGACCTCGCAGAATTAAAAAATAACCTTAGCAAGTAACCTATTTGTTCTTCCAGATTAGGTATTACATCGGTGCCAAATTTGATCAAGGTCTATTCAGCAGTTTAGGCTACAAATATCCATCTATCCATATTTCACATTAATAACATTAGTAAGAGTAAGATTAAAGACTTTCTGTTCACGGACAACATAGAATATCAGAGGGAATGAAAACGGCATATTTTTAAATTAAAAAAAAAAGCTGCTTTGATTTTACGTTAAGTTCCACGCTAAAATCTCTACCATCCTATGAAGTTTTCGGAATGATAAATAAATATGTTACTTTTGTCAACTATGTTTTACATATTAATGTAAATCTTTGTATTGAATTGAATTAATTCAAAGCCTTTTTTTTTAATTCCTATTATTATCCAGACTTTCAATGTCGACCATGATATGACTAGGTCACCAAAGATAATTTAATTTTTATATTCAAAAGTTAATTTGCCGTAAGACAACATAAAAATAAATACTTAATTTTACTTTCTTCCCTACGATTACCTTTTGCATAAAAAACGTGAAACCGAAATTTCATTCCTTTTAGTGGAACGTAGTATAACCAAAGTAATAACTTTTTTGTATCCATGTAATTCCTCAGAAACACATTTAGCATTATCTACATTTGCATATAATTAAAATAAATGATATTCGGTAACTTTTATACAATTTTTACTAAAATTAATAATAACTTCTTCAAACACGCAGGCATTTTTGTGAAATAGGTGATACTGAGTCTTATGTTTCATCTAAAGGTGCGAAAGAGACAACAATTTTAGCTCAGACTATAGTAAAGAAGTGCCAGTTGTGGACGGTGTACTTTCGTTGTACTTTGGTATATTAGATGGATGGATAGGCGTCCATCTTGAATTTTGCTGAATTTGTGCCGGTTATGTGATAAAAGTGTATTTTATAGATCGGACTTCACTTTACTTGTTAATTTTCAAGAAGTTTACGTATGCTTCTACTATTTAATATTTAATATAGGATTAACCTCAGTAATGTGTTAGGTATGGATATTTGACTGAACCATTTGATCATTTGACGAATAATGGCGTGCGTTTTTCTGTACGAAGACTTTCAAATTTTATTTCATGTCATCATTTTATGAGTAGTTCTAATTTATTTCTAAGCCTTGTTGTAAAGTTGCTTGGAAATATTCTTTGTATCCTGTCGAGTTTATAATCAATTTGTAAAGTTTGGCAGCAACTATTAAGCTGGTTGTCGTTTTTAGGTTATACATCAATACAAGTGACTCGTAATCGTTCGTAATCGCTAATAATGATTCCCAGTGACGACTTCAATGATTAAAATTATATTAGGCAAGTGTGATTTAGTGATCTTTAAAAGTGACGTCGAAAATATTTTTATTCACAGTATCATTACTCAAGACATATGCGATTTCCGGTAAGAATATCGTCGATAAAACCTTAGGTTGGCAAAGGTATAAAACGATGGCATTACCTAGTAGAGCCCGGGTATATGCCGATGTTAATTCACAAAAGCCACGAGAATATTGGGACTATGAAAGCTATGTGGTCGACTGGGGTAATCAGGAGGATTATCAGCTAGTACGGAAGCTTGGACGCGGGAAATATAGTGAAGTATTTGAGGCAATAAATATCACAAATAATGAGAAGTGTGTAGTAAAAATATTGAAGGTAAGTCATTGTCAGCTAAAGCCATGCTATTATTTGAAGTTTCCTTCTTTTTTATTAATTAAATTAGTTTATTAAAAGTAGAAAAATGTTGCATTCAGCATAGATACATTGCCATGTACTAAATTTGATCATATTCTATATCTTAACATTTCGCCAAATCATAGATGTGGCACATTTGGTTAGAATTGAAAATGTACAGTATATAGAGTAATACAGGACTTAAATGCATTGTAAATTAAAGGAGTATCCATTGATATTTAACCATTTTAAATAGTTCAATTATTGATTTTTTATAGCCCGTTAAAAAGAAGAAGATAAAAAGAGAGATAAAGATATTAGAAAACTTAAGAGGTGGCACTAATATAATAACTTTACAAGCTGTAGTTAAAGATCCTGTATCTCGTACACCAGCTTTAATTTTTGAACATGTGAACAACACTGATTTTAAACAACTGTATCAAACACTGTCAGATTATGATATAAGGTAAATATGCATGAATTGAATATATACAATGTACATATACACCTGTGATGTTCATTCTTTTATAATTTTTTAAGGTATTATTTGTATGAACTGCTGAAGGCATTAGATTATTGCCACAGTATGGGTATTATGCACAGAGATGTGAAGCCTCACAATGTTATGATTGATCATGATAATAGAAAGTTACGTCTCATTGACTGGGGCTTAGCAGAGTTCTACCATCCCGGACAGGAGTATAACGTTCGTGTTGCTTCTAGATACTTTAAGGTAAGGATGTAGCAATTTTTATTTATTGTGTCTAGCTGAGCTTCTTATTTTGTTGAAAACATACATTTACATTGTTGATACAAAAAAATGTTATATTTTTTTACTGCACAGTACTAGAAAAATGGCATAGGCTTAAGATTATCTAAGCTAAGCCTCTTATATTAGAATTGAGGTTATTAGGTAACTGCTTTAAAAACACTAATTAACACAAAGCAATAATTGAAATTATTAACAATAGTTTTTGTTTCATGTGTTTAAGTTAGAATTATTATAGTTGAGAATTGATTGAAGTTTTTTTTTTGCATTTCTAAAAGCTGCAATTATTAAATATGTACTATGTTTCTGATAAGCAATAAGCAACATACAAATACCACACAAATATATGAAACTCATGGTGTTGCAGAACTATAGCCTCCTACTACCAATTAACTAATCCTTACTACTGGGTAAGCGGTTACATAGCTAATTGAATCCTAAAAAATACCTAAGATTTTTGCTCTTACCATCTAAATCAATATATCTTCAACAATAAATTATTATCTTAACTGCAATTATTCTGTATTAAGAAATGACCAACATGTGATATGACTTGCAATTTATGTTGATACACAAGTATTGTGATACAATGAATTTATAGTAATTAGCCATTTTAATTGTACTTACTGTAAGCTTTGCTTAGTTACTTTTTCTAAGAGTAATTATTTTTCTAATTCAATTTCAGGGTCCAGAACTTTTGGTTGATTATCAAATGTATGACTACTCACTGGACATGTGGTCATTAGGATGCATGCTGGCATCCATGATCTTCCGTAAGGAACCATTCTTCCATGGTCATGACAATTATGACCAGCTTGTGCGTATTGCAAAAGTGCTGGGCACTGAAGAATTATTTGAATATTTGGACAAATATCATATAGAATTGGATCCTCGATTTAATGATATTCTTGGAAGGTAATGATTAAAATTGTGATGGATGAATTTCGCAGTAATTATTAAAAAATCTTAACTTTTTCAGATTATGATAGTATCTAATAAATTGTTATGTTCCCAGGCATTCACGTAAACGGTGGGAGCGATTTGTTCATTCTGAAAACCAACATCTGGTATCTGCTGAAGCTTTAGACTTCCTTGATCGTCTGCTACGTTATGATCACTATGAGCGTTATACTGCTCGAGAAGCCATGGATCATCCATATTTCTGTAAGTATATTTTTTTGGCAAAATTTATATGAATATATTTTTGTACTGTAGAGTTGGCTCGCACAGTAACATTTTAATTAAATCCATTATTGGTAAAAAACATTGTTTCTTTTCCATACAACTAGGATGTAAAAATGGCCTATTGGCCAGCAATTAGATATCTTGACGATCCTAAAGTACTGTTACCACTCACAGTTAGTTACAATGTTCTTTTTGCTTGTATTAAGGCTTTTAAGTAGCATATTATATTCATAATTTGTGGCAACTTTTGAATTGAACACATTGAGAAAAACCTGATAACATGACATATTTTTACGGCGATGTAGGCAGCTTGTTGCAAGTGGTGTCTGGTGTCTCACAAGTGGTTATTGTTACAGATCCAATTGTGAAAGAGCAGGGTCGAATGGTGTCGTCCAACTCTCCAACTCCTAATGCACTACAAGGACCAATCAATGCTACGGAATAATCATTAATAAACTCAGTAATGCTCTTTATAAACACTATATATTGAATATTAACTTGTACAAGGTTCCAGACGAGATCCGTGACAGACACAAACACTCCAGTCCACTGTAGGAGAGACGGCGAAGGGCACTGTGATGTCATCTCTGTTACAACACAAACTGATAACTAAAGGAATTCCAATGTTTGCAAAATGAATTAATTTGGAAAGACAATATGATTTAGTGTTTAATGTTAGTAAATATCAGGTTTATTCGTTGTTTTAAAGTGTTTTTCTCCGGTACAAACTACTAAGTCCATGAAAGTGTATCAAGCTATTACTTTCTATATTATATGGTGGTTACAAAATTTTACAGTTAAAGTTCAATATCCATCTTTTTTATGATGTTCAATATTAATTATTGAGGTAAAGGAAAATATTTGGAGTTTGATTGCACTTGATATTTTGCATTTATTAACCTATACGGTATTGATATTGTAATTACTTGTATGATATATTAATTGGTAACACCTGCATACAGATTGAGAAATACTGGTTAGAAACATTTTGTTGGTACTGCTATTAAAATTTTGTATTTATGTAATAAAAGCAAAATGTAGATATGTGTAATATAAATACAAAATTTTAAGACGTAAACGTTTCTTTTTATTACATGATAAAAAAGTAGTAATGTCAAAATGAATATTGCTTCTATTAGAATATTTTAGTAAGTTATGTTAGCTGTCCCTACACGTATAGATCAATCGAGAACATCTTCAACGTGGAGGTTGATGATGGCCTGCAATGGTTATAATTTATTTTTAGTGTGATAACTTCAAGTTGTTGCATCAAAATTTTCTTAATAAACAGACTAACTTTGCCTGGACTTTGTCTTCGGTTTTCTTTGTATTAATTACACGAAATATTAAATTAGTTAATACTTTTCCCTGTGTTGCTGCCATGTGTTTGTGTTTATAACATGCTAGGACTTTGTCCTTATTAAGTTAGGAATCAAACTATAATTTTGTCTTTCTTTTCTGATTGTTATTGTTTAGAAGAGGCAGGCATCCACGACACGGAATGGTTGCAGCATATTTATTGTATTTTAATGTTTGTTCTGTTACTTAATGGAACAGATGATAAAATTGTAAAGTTCACAACAAGCATACTACATTTATATATTGTGCTTGTTCTTTTTTATTTTTATTAATATACATATGAATAAGTGTATAGCTTTTTTTAAAGATCTGGAGGGGGAGACCAAAGGAATTTCATTGGAAGGTAATATAGATGAATGAATGATTAATATTAATGTAGATAGCTTATGTTCTAAAAATAATTCCTCAAAAACCAAGGGGTTTTTATTTTGATTTGGAAACTTTTTAGCAGAATACAACTACAATAATTTCTGAAAAGAGCGTCAGTGGTTTAAGCACTTGACTTTTAATCTACAGGTCTTGGGTTCGATTCCCGCCATGTACCAATATGATTTTCGAATTTTCGTGTACATAATTTCCTACGTTCTTACGGTGCAGGAAAACACGAATTTTTGGACCGCTACATAGTTTTATCCTGGGGGACACCAGAAAATGCGTACTTGCGCTGTAGGAAATTTAAAAAGGGGTTGAAGTTGAATTAAAAATTCAACTTACTGAAGCATTTTCAGCATATTACTGGGTTAATGCACTGGACAGAAGTGTAGTTTTAGGACAGATAACATTAATAATAGCTAAATTAAGTATATATCCAGTGCTAGTATACCGACAAAACGTAATACTGTGCAAGTGGTGTCTGAACGTCGTTTTGACCTATTTTGGCACCACGCGTAGGCAATCTGCGTTACAGTGCTAAGCTACATCACGGAGGAACAAAATTCGTCAGATTCGTCGTGTGACTAACTTGAAGTACACTTCTACTATTCATTACAAACTTTTGAAATAATAAAAAAAAATCCTTCAACAAAATTTATTTATTGTCTTAAAACTACACATTTATACAAATTATACACTGCTTTATAGATTTAGAACTTAAATATAGTGTATTTTATACTAGCTTAGTGAGATATCTTTAAATAGATTAAGATTTTGGTGTCCTGACTCTAAATAATTTTTACTACAACAATAACAGAAATATTTGTTTATGAACGGGAACATTGATGTGTCACATTCTGCAGAGGATTTTATTGGTTCATTATTCAAATATTGACCGGGTTGGAAATTTGAAACTGTTCTGGAAAAATTTGTTGCCTCTATTGCTGTAAGCTTTTCATTCTTCAATGCAAGGCAGCTCTAAAAAAAACATTTAAAAATTTATTATTACTTCATTCTCTTAGTAAATAAAAGCTTTTAAAACAGGCCATATAAATTTAAGTGGGCCTAATTTTAATTCTTTTTCCATCTTACAAAAGAAAAATAAGTTACTGAACTGTACATGCTATGGAATTAAAAAATTATAGGAAAAGCAATGTTTAAAAGAAAAATAAAGTAGAAAGTATAATTTTACCTTACAAACTAGACATGTTATATTAGTTTTCTCAATTGTTCCTATTTTATCAGCAGTTTTGCACACAGTTGACACAGTAGCTGGGAAGTTCTCTTGAAGATCCCACACAAAATTTTTTATAACTGACTGAAGACTGTTTTCTTTAATTTTAACATTTGATAAGTGGGTAAGATTCTTAATTTGTATGTAATGATGCAATTCCTCTTCAGTTATATCTTTCATTGGTCTTAATATTTTTATTTCATCTCGGTTATCTAAAAAACCCTGAAAAAATAGTTATCTTTTAATGTAATTGTTTTAAAATATGTTTCCAAACTATTTTGATTTGTATAGAACTTACGATATCATGTTCTACTTGTGATCCTCGTCCAATTGCAAGATTAGAGAGCAAGTTGACTGCTAATGTAGTTGTTGTTTCTGCCGTAAAAATAAAATTACATTGACATTCTTTAGCCACTCGTCTGAATGTATCATGTTTTATTTTGGTTTCTATGTCATTGCTTGATGTGGGAGTCATTTTGCTTAATACATTTTGTAGTTTAGTCTTTAATTCACAGTCAGTAGTTGTCTCTGATAAACTGTTAACATCAGGCAGAGTATTTGATTTTTGAAAGTAGAATTTATTAATGTTTACAATGTAAACACTAAATTTATAGGAATTGCATTGATTAATAACCAATTCTGCAACTTTATGATCCATTTCCTTCTCTCCAAATCCTAAAAACGAAAATAAACTTTTGAGTTTATAATAAAATATAATAAACAAGTGCCAGTGTCTTATACAACAAATTTTTATTCAGCAACTATTTTTGGCATGGAAAATATTCTTATCACAAATGGCAAAGTATAACCAAGGCATTTGGAAATTTTTAAATGGAGTCATTTTACTTTGGTAAGCTGTTTTAGCAAATTATAAAATAAACTACTATAACAGTAAGCTTATTAATGCATTGTAATTGGGTACATCAGGAAGTTAGTTTTGGATCTGGTGTTTAAAGGATAACTATCAAGCTAATGAAATATTTTTTTGTATAAATCGTAATTTTAGGTGGTTAAGAATGATAGCGAAATCCTCTAGGCCTATAAATCTTAAAAATGCTTTCGAAATATTGAGTAGAAATTAAAATAAGTGTTTACATGTTTTACCTGTTAAATGCAAGAAAACTGGGCTTATTCTTAGTTTTTTATGATTATCTTGTAATAAACCATTATTGATTAAGTCCAGTAATACTGTGGAGCTTTGTCCCCCAGTTAGGCAAACCAAAACCTTTTCACTTGATGATAATATTTTGTTTTTACCAATACACGCTCTGAATTTATGATTAATGTTTGTCATGAAACAATTTAAGCAATAAACGTGTTCTTTACGAATAGTGAGAGAGCCGGGATCTTTACATTTTTTGCAATACATTTTTATAAAACCGAATGCAAAATGCAACAAAATAATAACCTTATTTATGTTAGGTTAGACCATAGATTAAGTCAACGTAGAAAATAGAAATGTCAGATTTCACACAACTCTTAACAATTTGCATAGTCTACAACCATAAATAATAATTTTAAATAATCATGATTTATCAATATTTTTTACTAAAAGATGAAGATGGCATTTTAACCGCAATTTAAAAGGATCGCGCTATGCAAAACATTTTACACTACAATACCCGGTTTTAAATAGATAATCAAATTAGGGATTATTTGTTTTACTGGTGGTACTGTACTGCAAATTTTCCTCATGAATTTTGCTTGGCTTTTCACCATTTCTTTCATACAGTAATGGAAACAGAAGGGAAAAACAAACAAAGCCATTTAGATTTATAAAATTGTATTGTCTTTAAAAAAGGAACAAAAGTTAAACTTTATTGAAGGCAGCAATATCAACGCTTTGAACCTGTAAAAAAAATCTTGTTGAACTTTAATGTCTTAATAGATAAATTATTACTACAAATAATAGTTATGAAAGTTATTCAATAAAGGTAAAGGTATTGCAAAATAAAAGTGAAAATAACTTACAAAGTCTTCAATTTTTTCAATTTCTTCAACAAGCCAATCAACAGAAACTTTGTCATCTTCCACAACACAAGAAATTTGTAACTTGTGAATGCCAAAAGCTAATGGAACAAGTTTTGCGGCTCCCCACAGCAGACCATCTGTGTTAATTACTCTCACTGCTTTTTCCATTTCAGCCATATCTGTTTCATCATCCCAAGGTTTGACATCTAATATAATATTAGATTTTGCAATCAAAACTGGTTCTAAAACAATAAAACGGAATAATTATTAGGTGCTTCATAAGGTTTATGGTATACAGCGATACAAAACATTTTCTTGTTAAAACTAATGCCTTTATGACACAATACATCCTATTTGATTGGGTTAGTTAATCCTAATGTATATTAATATAAACTACATACTTTTAGATTTCTTAGCATTGTATGCAGCCAAGCGCTCTTCTCTTAGTTTTGCAGCTTCTGCACTTTCCTCTTCATCATCAGACCCAAACAAATCAACACCATCGTCTGAATCTTCCTTATCTGCTGCCTGCTACACATTTTGATATTTAAAAAAGGAACAGACAACATAAAACTTATAGGATTTGTATTTAAAAATGTTTTGTTTTAAAGATACTTCATTTTTTAAAAGACTCGTTTATTAAAAAAAAAATACCTGGCTCTGTGCTGGAGCTGCTGGCTGCACACTCTTGGGAGCCTTTGTCTCCAATGAGTCTACTCTAGCTTGTAGGCCAAGTACCAACTTGCGTAAATCATCAATTGCTTTCTTCAAATCAACATTCTCTTTTTCCAAGTTATTTAATTTGTTGAACAGTTCTGTATTTGGTACACCAGCTAATGTGGCAACACTATCCATCTGTAATATACAAATGTTCCTTACTTCATGTCCTACAAAGTAGTATTAAAATGCTAATGTGAAATACCAATTCAGAAGAAAAGCAGCAATTTATTATAATTTCCTAGTAAATAATAGATTTCACAATTATAGATTAAAATAAAAAAGAATTGAATGAGATGTAATAATAAAACAAGTAATAATGCAATGAATACATGTAATTATTTTCTAAATAATGTGTGATCACGTCTAAGGTCATTAGTTAGTGCCAAAGTTGGTTTTCCCAATAGAAGATTTACATATACATAGTAATAGAATACATTCCTAAAAAGGAAATGAGAACAATGGTCTATAAACAAGTCCACACTTAACAAACAATTTAGTTTCATTGAACTAACAAAGATGATATCAAAACTACCTTCAAAGAAAGGAACTTGAAATGGGTATCACACTTACTAACAGCTTATATTCTATTAAAAGTGTAAATTTCTTAATTTACTCACACATTCTAAGGAATTTTTGATATGTTGCCTGGCCTTTGCAACCTCGCTGGCCAATGAAGAATTCCCAATTACTGCTGTACCCCCTTGGGGGTTTTGAGCCTGAAAGTTTTGTACATGGTTTAATAATATTTACTTTATGTTTTTAGTTTATATTTAATATACATCACTCTTTTCTATACAACAAGTTGAACACATTGACATCTGTATAACACATTTAAAAAGCTATATTTAAACTACTGATTGTCATAATAAATGAATTTTTTTTCCTTTGCTAGTATGCAAAAATGAATAAAATTACCTTAGACATTGATTCATAATAATTCTTCTCAGCATCATTGTAGGCAGTTTTGTCCAGCCATATCTTTTCATGAATTAGAGCAGACATTATCTGTAATTTAAAAATCTTTTATTTATGTAGGGTATAATGTTATAATTCAAATGGTAAAAACTGTTTCATAATTTCTTGCTTAATGTTCATGTATCAAAATAACGTTTTATATACAATTTTTATTTAAAATTAAGGTAGCGTAAAGTTAAATCCATACCCCACATTGATAATACTCAGATTTCTTTTATTTGAGAAATCATTTGAAAAACTAATACAATAATACTAAAGATTACTAGAGTATAATTTGAAAAACGATTCGGCGGTGGTATGCAGTAATAAGACTGAATTAAGAGAAACACTTAAAATTAATAAAATATTTATTTATTTAATATTTTCCAGTCAAAACACAGTGTATATAAATAGCCTGCTCTATACAGCTTTCGTGAAACATTATAGGTTAGGAGATAATATGTACATTTTAAGTTCATAAATCTTACATTTCATTTTGTGTAAATATAATTACCTTTGAAATATAATTTCACAACAAATTATCTGAGATATAAGTTTTATTTGACGGATATTCGAATATATTTTTGATACAATTTAAACCGTCAATCAAGCGTCAAACTTCGAAAGGAAAGAATATTTTGAACTGAACACTTGGCACTTGGCAGCCTGTAAAACTTTTACCACGTTGGCCGTTGGCGCGCGGTGTTAGGAATTGCCATAACAAAAAAATGTCTAGTAAATATTGACTATACTTACAAAACCTAAAGTAACATACTAACTACTTATAGGTTCTCCAAAATTAGCTGGTATCAAAGAAAAAAGATAAAATGGCCTGACGTAAGTAGTATACTAAGCGTATGTTAACTCTTTTCTGCTATCTAATTCATACATGTATCATGTATTATGAAAATCTACCTAAGGACATGGAAAGTAATCAATTAGTGACTTTGTGTGTGGTATATAAATATAATACACAAAAGTGAACAGTCTAAAATGCCCAAAAGTCAACTTAATGTAAAATTTTTGTCCAATAAAAAATAAAAAGTAGGTAGGTGTAGTTATGTACGTAATTATTATTTTTTATTGACTTAAGCAGGTATTTAGTACATTTTTAGTATCATCTTTCATTGTGCAAGTTTTGTAAAAATATTTAGTAAGGAGCGTTTCTACAGTTTTAAAACGCGGGAAGAGTTTGAAAGTGAAGTTTTGAGTAAGAAGTTAAGTTAGTTTATTCAAATAACTACAACTATTGTTCTGGTATAGTAATTTCTATGGTAGTACGAGTAAGTAAGGGTCACTGTAAAAATTTTAGCTAATAGCTATGACTTTTTCTATCATGACAAATTAGCTGGTTGCTAATTGACACGAACAATAATATAGAAATAGTGAATAGAATTACATGACAAGGTTTAAAACTACACTCAAGTATTTAATAATGATTCTTGATAGATGTGTTTAAGGCTGTCAAGACCTTAAGCAAAAAGTTTAATTAAGAATAATGGTAGGGATATAAAAGAATGCAATTCGTCAGTTGAATAAGTCAGGTTTTATAGGACGACATTCTACTATCAATTTGTTTACATTTTTGTTTAACGGCCGGTGAAACTGTTTTTATTAATTTAAAATTACATCGAAATTTGATAATAATCATATAAAGCCTTTCTTAGTAGTACCTTAATATTCTAAACATTTATTACATTAGTCTCAATCTCTAGTTCAAAAGTATAAACAAATACTCAAAATACATGTAGCATCTTTGAGACGGAGTTCCATCGCGATGAAAAAAAAGTAACTTAACATCAGTTTTTCCAAAGATTTTCTTACAGCATATCTCCCCTGTTTTAAGCGAAAAAAATCCAGCGGTGTTCCTATTTATCATTAGATTAATGATAGATTTGCTTTGTTTAGTGTTTTGTAAGTAACACTTTAACTCTTCCAAGACACTTTTTCCTCTTTCTTAAAATAAGTTGGTGCAACTTGACAAATTTTTACTTACCAAAATTTAAGTAAAAAGTATCATTATTCTTGCCGTGTCGGTCTCGTTTGTACTTAGAATAAATAAAAGTTTCCGTGGACATGTTATAAGACCAATTGTTTATAACGTTTTAGGTGAGGTGTTTATTTAGAATAAAAAATGCAGCTTAGCAACGTTCAAACATTATTTTTAAATAGACAAAAATAACTATAAATGTTACAACAGAAAGGTTACGGAGCGCTTTAGTACGAAGAACATTAACAAAAAAAGCGACAAACACAATTTTTATTACAGCAGCCGCATAAGTGGACAGAATCATAATGTCGCTAAAGTTGAAATATATAACGGCCATTTTATTTGCATAGAATATACATGATAAAGTATAAATGCTTATGTTTTTTCGTCTCAATAGGAGCGGACAGCGGCAAGCGCTATTCAAGTGTAACCTTGAGCTTATTATAACTTAAAAGTGAGAGAAGTTATACTTATTTTTATTGGCTGTAGCACCAGATAGATATGTATATACATATTTGTGCGTTGGTTTTAGGTTTCTTTTTAAAAGGAAGGAAAACTTTTTAATATTTTTAAACAAAAATCGATAGAACTAAATCTAATATATTAGATACGAAATACACAGTATAAAGATAACGTTTTGTTTATGCTTGAAAGTATTTTAAAACTAATATTAACGTAAAAAATATGTAATTACATTCATCTCGGAATATGAAAACAGTGGAGAAGTAAATATGACTACGATAGGAAATTTAAAGAAAAGCTAGTGTCTAATAGTTTGTTATAAAAGAAAAAAAAAACTAACTGTATGATTACTATCATTTATTGCATCATCGCGTTAACCATGAATTTATTCTTTGAAAAATACAATTCTATGTAACAGACGTACATTTGTACATTTAAAATACATTTCAGTTATTTTGGGGTATACGGGAACATGGAAAATCGTTAGTGTATTAGATTACACAACATAGGTACAATCGAGGATTCTGACAGTGTTCTTTCTAAAAAGTTGTAGTCGTTTTATTGTTTTATACAAATTTGATGACAACGCGGAGCAATGTAACAATAAGAGCTTTTAAATGTATCTGTAAAAATTGGTTGGTCAGCGGTACACTTTTAATTGCAATTTATGACGGGATAATACCGTCTTTTGTGAAGAGGCGTCATTTGTAAGAGGCGGAGTTTGTCTCCCTGCAACAAACAAAGAGTTTGCTTCCCTGCAACACACACAGCAATTTTTTTGTAAGAGGAACACCGCGGCTTTTTGCGACTGTATATGATATTGTCTGTTGTGCTGCTAGTCATATGTTTTAAAATAAAACACTACTACTAAACACTAGTATTAATCCTTTTTATACATTACAGTTGGAACGTTATATTATTAACTACTAAGATTGTTTCATTAATGTATGACCTCGTGATGTCACAAGGGGCGAGATAATTTTCATGATTACAAGAATACAAGACGAAAGTTGCGTAACATTAAAAGCAATACCCAGAATTATGTCTTTTCTACATCGTGTAACAGCAGGTGTCTTGTTTATTGCCAATACCTTATGTAACATATTAACGCAAGTGAACCAGATTCGTGTCCTATCATTAAAATATACAATTTGTGTTCATATATTTATCTGAAGCTACCGAAGCTTAGATCGTACAGTCGATCTGCCGATATAATTACTTTAAGTACATATATTGCTTATTGTTTTATCTGAAAGTGGAAGTAGGACCTGACTATCTTCGCTTTCCGATAAATTAAATCACTGTTATATTCAATAATTAGTATAGAAAAATATATATACTCGTATAACTAAAGTTATATGACTCTTTCCATGACAAGAACCAACATAGAATTCGTAACGTTTAATTTTTTTCAAACAATAAGCAGACCCAGCTACATGGACGTGACGGTCTTTTTCGAAGTAGTTTTGATATCCTTACATTTTCCGAACCTCTAGGGTGCAGGCCTCCTCTCTGTCGCTCTGGTCTACTTAATAATATAGTATAGTATTTACTTAACAGTATCAAAACTACCGAACAGAAATAATCAATAGCAATAGTAAAAGCCATAGCTTCGTAATTTTTTGTACTTATTACAATGAAAATTGCTGAACTGGAACAAACTTGCTAGAACCAATTGCATAATAATTATAATGCTATTAAAGTATGAGTATCTTAATTAAACAAATTGAAAATCATTTGCGGTTTCATGTTCAATTACTATGTGAAATAGACATTTTTAAATACGTAAATTATAAAGGTACAGTACTACTACATAAAAAGAAAACTTTATAAGTATATTATTAATATTCATTTCAAGTAAGATATTTAAAGTGGCAATTTATTATCTTAACCGAATACTGGAAGTAAATGCAATAGCATTTTCACTTAAGTTCGAGAAAGTAAGGAGTTGTTGCGTAAGTTTAAGCTTCATATTTTGTAACGGCTGTTAAGATCTGGTCTGTGGAAGCGGCG